TCTTTTTAAGACCATGCCACTTAGTGGTTTTTACCTCTTGCTTTCATTATTTTCTTATTATTTAAGATACCAACTACACACGATAAGTCAATATTGTCGAAAAAATATTACCCAGTCTCAAAATCGTATCTATGATGCGCTTCCATCTTCTTATCTGCCACAATAAAGAAATTTTGTCAAATTTTGAAGCGGGTGAAAGTCTTTACTTGAAAGTGATTTACACTTACCAACCCACATATCCTGTTCTGGTGAACCGAAACCATTCTTATATTCCGTCCAGTTCCTGTCAAAGCTCAGGGATCCACTGACACGTTTTTGGATTGCCTATAAAAGTTAGCATGTATAACAATACAAATCATTGCTTCAAACAATTGTATGATCAATTTCTGATGATATAAACTAAAAGTGTTCGAATTATATAATGCAACCTAACTTTGAAATAATATAACATACCGTCCATCCTCCGTCCATCGTCTCCATGTCGCAGTAAACTCTGACAGGACTGGTAATGGTGCCATAGGGATAAATGTTGTACACTCCTGATTTAGTGTGACCATCTGCATGAAGATCCTTACAGTCAATGGGAGTAACCGAAGCGGGAACTAGAGCAGAAAAAAAAATCTGTAATCATGTTATGTATATATACAGGCAGTAAGAGGATACATTATACCTGAAAGATAAATTAATGTTAATTGCTGAAGTTAAGTTGTGAACTACAATATAGATTTTGTTAAACTGTTCCTCATTACCTAAAACCATTTTGGTTTAACAAATGCTTTAAATCTTTAATCTAATATTTCTTTTAAATATACTGAGCGACAGAGTGCTTAGTGGTCCATAGCGCGGGGATCCCATCTCAGCTTTCAGAGCAGTTATTGCAAGATAGCAATTTCGAGAAACTAGTTTGAAGTGCATCTATGTTTTTATTTTTTAGTCAAAACAATCTGCAGAATCCTTATGGTTAAGAATGTTACAGTGTTATTATCCCAAAAATGAATTTCATTAATGTATTGTCAAGATGTAAACTTTGATCTTTTTCGTTAGTATTTCCTTCACAGTAGAAGTCGAAACTTTTAATAAAAGATAATGCTAAAAGAAAGCAAAAATAGAAAAAAAAATATATTGGAATAACAAAATATAATTCCACCTAAACAGATAGGACTATTACTTAGAATTAATTATGTTGAAAATATAATTGATTATTCCACATGAAAGAGTATTGTCTCAGGAAGAAATAATATCGTGCATAGTAAATATTGATAAACCTCTTCTTTCTAAAAGTAGTGCGATAAAAACTAATGACGTTTATGTGATTTGTGGCAAACGAAGAAAAATAACAGTTATACATACAGTCATGGGAATAGTATCTCCAACCGGCCTCATTAGACATCTCAGATGTGAAAATCTTCTTGTGGGTACGACATTTCTTCATCTGAGAATTAAATCCATAGAAACTACATTCCCTTTGAGAGAGTGTTGCACACTCAATCGACGATGTAGAATTGTATTCTTTCAAGAGTTCATCACTTGATTTTTTATCATCAAATTCCAGTTTCGTGATGTATTTCCGCGAAATGATGGTAGACTGAGACACCGCAAAGAAGACAAAAATTAAATAAATAGCCCAAAGAGCGCCCATGTCGTAATTTGTATTTAAAGCTACCTGCTGCCTACCTGTAAAAATTTGCAATGTTGGTCTTTCAGTCACCAAATATAAATATCAAAACCTATATCAGTTACTGAAAAGTGATTGGCTTATTATTACGTACTATGTATTTAGAATTGTTTTAGCATCGATTTTCCCGAATATGATATGAACTGTCATACATAAATGTTTACTTTTCGATTGCAATTTTAAATATCTCAATGAAAAATATGCCGTTATTTTTACAGAGTTTATGCCTCAAATGTCAAGTCACGCTTATGAGTTTTTTAATCAGCTGTCTTTAAGTTATCGAACTTTTTATTTTTTTTCTAATTTAGGTCTGTTACTCGTAATGCAATTAAAATTTATTGATTTCGGTAAATCAAGTTCAAATAGATAATTATCTGATCCTCAGATTATATTAAGAATTTGTTTAAGTATTTCAACTTTTATCTTCCCTTACTTATGCAGCAATATTCCTTCATCACCTGCATACGGGGTTTATATCTCTCAGTTGATTCGATACGCAAGAGCATGCTCTACGTATGTACGCTTTCTAAAACGAGGTAAATTATTGACAAACAAGTTGTTGAAACAAGAATATCAGCTGTCTCGTTTAAAGTCATCATTTTGTAAGTACTATGGTCGATACAATGACCTTGTCAGCAAATACAATTTATCATTGAGTCAAATGCTGACTGACGCTTTTCATACAAATTGTTAAGCCATTATTTACACACTGAATTGTCGATGGATTTTTCCGTTATTTCCAGATCATGACAAGGAGCACACGGCAGGTGTGACCGGTCGGCAGGGGATGCTCACTCCTCCATGGCACCTGATCCTACCTCTGATGTTTGGAGATCCGTGTTTGCTCTGCTCCTATTTTGTATTGTTTGATGGACTTTTGAGCCTGAATACTGTTCGTTATCTTCATATATTTCATCTTTAAGTCTCCAAATGTTAATTTAACACATGCTACACCATTATTAGTTATAATCTTTCGAATTTAATTTTTCGGACAACAATTTGTCATTCCCTCACAAAAAAAAAAGAAAGAAAATAAAATACCTGTGGGAGTTTGTCTGACTCATATTCTTACAAACAGAGATATGTTCCTGTAAATGTTCCGCCAAGCTTCTTTCTTTACTCCTCAGTAAAATATAAACAGCAGTGGAAGAGAAACTTCAGGAGTACTGAAAACAATTTATTTTAGAAGTGGTCTTAATCAGATGCGGATACTTAAAAACTCCAAAGAACTCCAAGAAAATTTGAAATCACAAAATTTTACCAAAATTAAAATTAAATCCAGGTTTTTAGACATCATGGACAGCTGCTTTTTCAATATAAATGGAACTCGTAAACTTACTAACCTTATCATTGGTCATTTGCAAAATTATTTTGCTAAAAACATTCTCAATGCTTACATTTTTGATTGACAATATCTCTCTAGTTTTTGAAGATCATGCCTTTCAAAAGTTTGTCGGAAGTTACACGGGTGCCAATTGCTCCCCGTTATTGGCAGACTTAATTTTGTATTCATATGAAGCAAAATTAATTCAAAAACTTCTACATGAAAAGGAGAAGTCTCTTCCTTTGGGCTTTTTGATTTAACATTTAGATATATCTACGTCTTATCTTTAAACAATCTTCATTTTCATTTCTACGTTGATTCGATGTATCCCTTTGAACTCGATATGAAAGATACAACATGGTCTGTTCCAAATTTGGATATTTTTCTTGAAAAAGACGTTAATGGTAACTAAACAACAAAAATTTTATGATAAAAATGACGACTTTAACTGTTCAGTCGTCAACTGCCCTTATTTATGTAACAAAATACAAATATATACCTAACTGTATTAAACATTTGAATGAAAAAAGTTAATACTTTGGAGATAATTCTATTGGATATTAAGACTATCTTAAGAAACACATGCACGCAATAAAGAAACTTACGGTTTAGGTTTAGAGAAATAGATGCTCCTTAGGAATAGTACCCATTATCAGTGTTAAAGATATTTAGAAGGGAAACGCGGAAATCTATATGCAGTCGAAATTGCTATCTCGGCCTTGATGGGACGAAAAAAAACATTCGGAGTAAAATACTAAAATAATAAGTGCTTGGGACTCCACATCACTTCGTCGTATGGATTGTATTCGAGATATCCGAGTTCGAGATACTTAGGGTTAGCCTTTGTTTCCGTTTTAGATAGGCATACTATTTCCAAGTTTTCTTTTATGCCTTAATAATGTGTTAATCCTGCCGAAGATTTTACATACAATTTAATTTTCGTTAAGCTAAGCAAACCTTCTGTTTCCTTCGCTTACAAAGTTGCGTATGTGATATCATTTATGAAGATCCTGTTAAGAGGGAACAGGAAAATGTCAAATTAAAGTGGTTGTGCATGATATATTGCATTCAGCTTTTTTTTTTTTTTTTTTTTTACCAATAACATTTTTTTTTCTTTTTTTCAATGGCAAGATAAATTATGATGTATAAGGAAAAGAAAAAAAAAAACCCAAAACAAATAACACTGTAAAAGTAATTCCTTTTTGATTAATGTATACAAACAGTCACAGGAAACTCTCCTTTTTGAATGGCTTGATGCACTTTACATGAATTTCAGTTCACGTAGTTAAATGATCTTTATCCCCTGAACATACCTAGTATACATTTTTGACTTATCTGATGCGCGAGAATGACGTACCAAAAGCGTCTTTAAAAAGATGAACATTTGGCTATATCGATACACTAAAGGTATAATTTTATATCTCTAAAGTCAAGCGCCTAAGACGTCTAAAATAACGATTGACATATTTTCATTAAATTATGCTAGGTTTTACTTCCTGCCCAGCAGGCATACAACGTTGTACCAACGTTGAAAATATGTTGATCTTGGTTGATGACGTTGATCAACCAAATAACAACGTCATATGACGTTGAAAAGAAGACGTTGAAATCACAACTTATTTTCAACGTCAGATTGACGTTGTATAACCAATGATAATCCGACGAAATAGTTGCTGTCATTTATGCAATAATTATTTGAATGTGTTGTTAATATAATCATGTTTGAAAAAAGAACAATTAATTACGAATGTTCATAACAAAATACTACATATATTGTGTTTGATTAAGATGTGACAATAAATGCATTTATTTTACTCAGTACATGCATGCATGTAAAAACAAATCGGATGCAAGGGCGCGGTAGCTATTTGAATGTGGTTTGACCTCAAAACCTCAATGTCCGAACTTATCAATGTCCAAAACATGCTCACCACTTTGGTATTAAATTACTGGCGCGAACTGAAACAAAGAACCTGTCCAGCTGTGTAGATCGAGAACGCCATTTTGTTTTCTAGACTCGTGAAACGCTGATGTCTATTCCACATTTTGGATCGTTACATCCCCAATGAATGTAAGTACCCGTTTATTTAAATGATTTTTTTTACAATGACATGCAACTTTTGCTTCTCAAATGTGTTTTGAAAATAATTTTAATGAAATATTTGGCGTTTGATCCTTCATAAATTTTGCACGATTCAAAATGCGACACACATACGCTCTGAATAGCAGAGGATTAAGCACATAGTGGGTTGAACATCCGCATTGAATAAATCTTATTCTAAACATACATATAAGATCAAATTATACATATAGTCTTGTACATGTATATTACTGCTGAATAATGTATTTTCTTTATTTGCAGATGTTGAATTATAGCCGTCCTGTCCTTTCCTTACCAATCTAAAATCATGTGAATTTTGAAATACGTATACAGAACATGTCCGCGTCGATGGAGTACTCACAATACCATCCAAGAATAGTTAAAAAAATACATTATCACTCCATCGGATTCATACTTTTGTGAAATTCTTACCTAGACTTGAACCATATGTGACATGCAATTGCCATTAAGTGATGACAAATGGGAATAAATTGTGATTATGTTTTCATGGATGTAAAAAGAAATAAATAAATAGAAAATTGATTGGAAATTTCCTTTCAATGTGTTTACTGTTATACATGGAATTAATTATACACACCAGTGTGTGTAATGGATCTATGTTCAATTAATAGATGAGCAAATTCAATTTGAGAGTTAAAGATTACGACAAACAAATTTGATAAGGTTTTCAATATATTACAAAGTAAAAGATGTGTTGAAATATCAACCAAAACCACTCATATATCAACATTTTTTCAACGTTGATATAACGTCCGTAGACGTTAATTCAACGTTGAAACAACGTAAAATATCAACGTTGAACCAACGTCGGATTTCAACGTCCATTCAACTTTCAAATCCAACTAAAATTCAACGTCATTTCAACGTTGAGGTACGACGTTGTTTCAACGTTGAAACAACGTTGAAATGCCTGCTGGGTGGGTATAATTTATTACACGATAGATGAATGAAATATATTTGCTGATATCCTTTGCAATATCTGTATTGTTTTAATGGCTTTTGAGCTTGATAACTATTACTTATCGTCATATTTTATACAGTATAGTAAAACATACATGTAATTAAGGGGAACACGCTTATAATTAATTAACGTTTACACACTAATTGACGAAAAAAGTGCCGATAATCCTAAATTTTACTGATAATGTTTGATAATTACTGATACTGTGCTGTTCTTGCTGATTAATACTGATATTTACTGCTATTCTTACTGTTGTTACTGATAATTTTAGTTGTTTCTGACAAATACTGATATTTTCTGTAGTCTTTACTGTTGAGTCTGACAAATACTGTTGATGTGCTGTCGATGCTGAGATTTACTGATAATTACTGTGGTCATTGTTCTTGAGCTGTGAAGGTGCTAAAATAGAGCTTAGGGTTAAGAAAACCTTCTTCAATCATTACTTTCTTTTTTATTATTTTCAAAACAATAATTTCATGTTTCTTTATATTTATTGCTTGTGACAAAAAATATGACACTGATCTCAATTACAATACGGTTGTGAAAATCTTGACACTTATAATTAAAGTTAACGATTAAACAAAATTTTCAGCGTAAAGGCAAATGTTTTCCAAGAATCTATGAAAATAGTACATGTATGTCTATAAGCAGAATAAATGGAATTTTCCTATTGCATGAAGATATCATTTTAACATAAGTCACTGTAATACTAAAACATTAAGGCTTATAAAAAAAGATAGTCCGGCTCAAGGAATTTGGGTAAGGAGGTTGGTGATTTTTTTCATTAAAAGACACTGAAGTGGAAATAGTTATTATTGGGTGGGAAAAAATCGGGATAAAAAAAAAAATTCCAGTAGAATAGAAAAATATTGATTCGGACCTTTTTTTCACTCAGTCAAGAGAGGACAAACAGTCATTTTCTTTGTAAAGATGGCCTTACATGATAGCAATTTCTTTTATTCTTTCCTAAAGATATGCATAGTTTTTTATTTTTTTTTAATGCTCGGTCTTTCGGATCTCTCTTCCCCCCCCCCCCCCCTGAAAATCTGCCCGAAACTGATAAATTTTATGCTTTTTCAAAATTAATTGAAAGATGAAAACAGGGTTGAATATGTTCCGTATGAAGGCATATTTTTATTATTATTTTTTTTTAGGAATACGTAATGCAGGCATTCGTAGATAGCCCCAGAATATAACTCTGCTACATGTTTATACGTGTGCAACCAGCAGATGGGGGCTGATCAAAAATTATTTGTCAGAATTATAGTGTAAGTGCAATGGTATACACGTGTACATGTGATTTTGATGTTGGTCTCTTACAATTTCACAAGTCACAACATACAACATTTTTATTCAATAAGTTTTAAAAATCTCATTCATTTAATTTAGTTTTATGGAATGGAAAATAAGAAATGGGACCTACCAAATGTAAATAATGGATTATTAAGTTGATTGATTTTAATATTGTAAGGTCACAGATCTGAATGGTATACACGTTTAAATTGATCAGAAATCGAAGATCAACCCGTGATTTGGCTTTATTGTGTACATGTCTTAGGCACTGGGGCAGAACGGGGTACAACATGTATATTCCATGTAGTGGTCAGCGTAATAATGGGCACTAATTACCTATTGTTCTGCGTCTGTGGTCACCAATGTTAATAATAAACAAATGAACCTACACTGTACATGCACTTGCTACTTGGAGCAGGAACAATCTTTATGGACGAACAAAAAATTTAATATTTGTTATCGATTTTGTTGACAAATTAAATTGTTAGAAAAATGTTTAGCAAAATAGGACACAGTACAAATTTAAAAAGAAAGAAAGAAAGAAAAGAAGTGAAGTTATATACATTGTACAAACTTATTAATTAAATAAAGTAACAATTCTTGAGATAAAGTTTAAAGAATATCCGGGGGAGGGTGCTACATTTAAATTCATTTGAATCTCTGTTAACAATGTTTAAGGGCCTGTAAAACGGAGACGAGAAATTGATAAGGATGAGTTCGACTTTATCTAATAAATAAATATGGAAAATTTATACGAGATTTTTTTTTTTTTTTTAAAAAGATGGTTCAGTGATTTAGCATCAACTGTTCACAATTTAGAAACGCGAAAACTTCACATCGCTGAATCCGAGAAAAAAATCTGTTATGAATTATGAATGTCAGAAACATGCTGATCGCACTCATGAATAAATGTTATTAATATAGCTGAATTTTGTATTGTTCCTTGATTCTTTAAAATAACTTATTCATGTATATTATAGATATTTAGTAATTATTACATGTATAACTTATGGAACTTAAAACTAAAGAATCAACCTTGCGCCTATCAGCTTAGTTAACAGTCTTTCACCCCCCCCCCCCCCCTTTTTTTTTGCTACAGTCTGAATAACCAATCATGTCGCGTGTACTTTGAGTACATTGGTCTCGCACAACAAGAAATGGACAATAAATATTATACTCTCTGTACAAGGTTATTTCTAATTTTACTAATTTTACTAAATTTATGCATATCGTAAGAAATACAAAACGTACTAATATTTAACCCGATTCTCAAAACGGAAGTAGAAACTTCTACACCTGGTGAACATGTGAATATTTTACACGGTGTTTTAGATCAACCGAGTAATTTCAAGTTTTGTTTTATTTCGTTTTTTAACTGACTGACAACGTATAAGCGGGTTATTATTATTTTTTAAATTGATCTAGCTGTTAACAGTAATTACGTACATCGCACTAACGATGAAAGATGCGTATTTCATTGAAAGAAAATCACACTGCATAAGATTTCTAGTTCTTGATGGCATAAAAAATAAAATAAAGGAAAACATAAACATTTATGATCTAATTTTAACATTAAGATGTAATAATAATAAATAATAATAATAATAAAATAAAAATAAATAAATGAATAATGAAATGTGAAAACAAATAATTTTCATGTGACTTTTTCATTTAGAATTTATCTAGTTATCTAGTAAGTAAATTGTAATGAATTTTGTTGATAAAATACTTTCTTTAAAATAATTAATAATCACTCAAACTTTTTTTGGCACCTTCTCAGCTAAAGAACAATGATCACAGTAATTATCAGTAAATCTCAGCATCGACAGCACATCAACGGTATTTATTAGTATTTATCAGACTCAACAGTAAAGACGACAGTAATTATCTGTATTTATCAAAAAACAACTTAAATTAACAGTAAGAATAACAGTAAATATCAGTATCTATCAGCAAGAACAGCAGAGTATCAGTAATTATCAAACATTATCAGTAAAATTTAGGATTCTCAGCACTTTTTTTGTCCATTAGTGACAGCTATGTAATTTCCGTTCCCCACTTCACTTGGACTTTGTTATAAAGGTGTTTTACTGTACCAACAAGGCAAACCCTAACAGAAAGCGGACTCCAACCTATCCCGAGTGTACTTTCTCTTGGGGTCCGCTAAGGCTGACACCAAGCGGACCATGAATTCGCCCAAAGTGCACCCCGGATGCATCTAAGTCAAACGCGTTTAATGAAGAAAGTTTCAGAAATGGAACAAGAAAGTGAACGCCAGGTTCTCTATTACATAACAGAGCTGTTAATCAGGATTAGCGAGAAAAAGCATTGACCAATCAGCGTGTCGACCAATCAGCATGTCAGTTTGCATCTCAGTGTCTATTAAAAAAAAGAAAAGAAATTAAGTACTAACAATGTGTGTTGAAATACAATTTAAGTTTTTTTATCATAATTATTTATATGATATTAAGGAATGATTATTCTCTTACATTTAATATCTAGATGTTTATTTTCCTTAATTATACTTTTTAATTGATTTAATGATATACAAGCTGTAGACATATATTGTGTAATTTTATTTTAGACAAGATATCTAAAAACAAGGAAACAAAATGTATATTAAGTGAAAAGATATTTACCACAACTATCTGTTTTCTTTTTCTAATTAGGGTCTTCCGACCTTCCGCTTCGGAAGACCCTTCTGTTATTCTACTGTTTCTTCTTCTTATTTTTTTCCGCAAATTTTTGTCAGCTGATTTCTCGGAAATTTTTCGCCTGATTTTTATGAAACTTTCAGGAAAGAAACATTATGTTAAGGCCTAAAAATAGTTTTTTCATTTTTTTTTATTTTCGCCTTTATTTAAGAGTTATTGCCCTTTAATTGATATTTGGAGGGTCTTTTGTCCGACTGAAATCTTGGGAACTACGTAAGATAGTTGTATGAAAATTTTAAGAAAATGTAGCTAACGTATTGTAGTTGTGTAAGATGTTAAAATCATTGGCTAAACTTTTCAAATTTGTAAGTCATTTGATGGCAAATTTTAAGATTTTTTTTTCATGAAATTTTGTTGCTTTTTGTTTAATAACTTTTAAACTAAAAACATTTTGCGAAGACATATAGAAGAAAAGTTGTGTGAACAACAAGGGCTTTCAAATGAAATAAAGAAAAAGGGGCTGGCCCCCATTTTTAGGGGTCAGTACGTCATAGATGTCTTTTTCGAAATAGCTAAAAATGTTGACATTTGCTACAAAATTTTTATTTCATAAT